ATTCTTTCTGTGCTGACAATTTGAAGTGAGTGTGTTTAGATGATTTCACATTCTGCTGTTTTTCCAACCACATGATCACTGTTTCATAACTGCCAAACCATATCAAGAATTTATTGCAGTTGATGATTCAGCTTAGATGTAAGCAGGCAAACAAGAGCTAAAAGTCACTGTTATGAATGAAGACGACCTGATTAATTGGATATGCAGGAATGGGACATTTCTGATACATGCTAATCTGTGTAAAATATATCTTGCAATATACCGACAGTTAGTGTCTGAGCACAATAGTCCAATTGATAACTGAGAACATGACTCCTACCTAACATCTGATCTCATTTAGGAGAAACAAATCGCATCAAAAATTAAGACAGAAACGCAGATGTGCATAGTCCGCTTACACTGTATGATATCGATAAAAAAGACTTGTACTGTAAATAGAGTTACTGCTAACATCATTAGCTTTCAATGAGGTGGTAGGTTTTCTCTCTGCACGTTAGCTCTTGCACATAATGATAATTTCAACGGCACTACAGCTGCGTGCGTACTCAGTTCGTACTGATACAGTATTATGGCAGTTCTCGGTAGACTAAACAATATATATGGAATAGTCCTACATGCAGATCATATTTTCTACTGTGCTTTAATGCTTATAAATGTGTATGTTCAATTATTTACTCCCTGTACTGTAATCTAAGATACCCTGTATTGTTTCCTACTTTGTGAAATATATTTTTATAAATATTGCTGAATGGTGTGGTTTTCTTATGCTGTTGTTAATATAAGTTACGGTGACCAGCAGATGGGACAATGGAGAAGCGACAGTCCAACTATTATTGATGTTGATAACTCAAACTGCTAAGAAGTTTTAAAGTATTCCTCATGTTTGGTGAGTTGAGTCTTTTTTTCCTCTATTTCTTATCTTCTAGTCTTGGCAGCTTTAAATAGGAGGAAAACAGCAAAAAGCACAGCAAGTCCAGCCTGCTGACAACAAACCATCCAGGGGCCTGTTCTACGAAGCAAGTTCAACCTAGCGAGGTAGCCTTGGAGCTACCTCGCTCAACTTAGCGCGGTAGCCAGCGGTCTCACTAAACGGTCTTACGACGCTGGTTAACAACCTCGTCGTAAGCTTTGCTATGAGCGCGTGCACACATGTAAGGCGGAGCCCGCTGCATCTGACCAATCGCGAACATGGACCAGTCTGGAGCGTCAGAGCAGGCCGGGGGGGAAGGACCGCGTACTTTACAAACGAGGAGCAGGAGACGATCATGAGAGAGTATGAAGAATTCAAATCTATCATAAATCTCAAAAGCAACACCGTCGCCGCTGCAAAAGCACGGAGTGAATGCTTGCAGAAAATGAATCTTTGATGCCATTATCACCCTGAAATAGCACTGTTCAACATGCGCTTTTAACTAAGGTGACCAGACGTCCCTGATTTCTGGGGACAGTCACCGAATTGGATGATCTGTCCCCGGCTAAAGCTGTCCCCGAAAATGCCCCCGATTTAAGCGTTTCATGAATGAGAACCAAAATGTTGCATGTGGGCAAGAACAACGGTTATTACAGTGGGTAGTAAGCACAAGTTAGCAGTCCTGAACAACAGTATTTACAGGGGTTATTACAAGGGGCGTGCGCAGCGCTGCTACTAAATCGTACCGAGATGTTGTCTGGGTTCACATAGCCCATGCACCCCCTGCCCATTTATTTCCATGATGAATTAATTCATTTGTTCATTCCTGTCGTGTTTACATTTTTGTGTGATATGTAGGCCATATGAGCCTTTCATAAAGGTGGTCATCCGGAGAAGTAAGTGGGTCCGTGCGGTCCCTGAAATCTCTCGCGAGCCGGAGTGCTCCTCCTCGGACAATGCGAGCACCGGGGTCTATAGGATCCTCCAAGAATAGACAAGCCGTTTTTCGAGAGAGCTCATTGGTCAGTGGGCAGGGTTTTTATACTCGCTGAGTTCAATCTGGAACTTAACCTGCTCCGGAGCAGGTTAGCCGTTCAGCGTATGTTGCCATGGAGACTCACCTCGCTAAACAGTGAACCCGCGTCGTAGAACAGGAAACCCCAAACTTACCCTCGAAGTTACCTTCGCTAAGCAGTAATCCTGCTTCGTAGAACAGGCCCCTGGTCTTTGACCTCCATGGCCTAGTCCCAGTCTGATTCTCTCTTGTTCTCTCCTCTCTCGGTTGTGTCAAAGATCAATTTTCAGTAGTTGATAAAAATGATAAGAGGATAAAAACAAGTAAAAACTAAAATATCAATAAAACACAGACCTAAAATAAACCTAGTCTAACTAGAATAAATGAAGATAAAACAAACAAATATCAATTAAAAGCTAAGCTAAAAAGGTGGGCCTTTTGGTTATGTTCTTAATGTGTGGACTAAAAGTCAGCTCAGAGTCAAAAATGACACCCAGGTTTCTTACTTGTGGAGATGTATTAAAAGACAGTGCTTGTAGTTTGGGTAAAAGTTTCTCTCTCTGGGCCTCAGGACTGATGACTAAAACCTCAGTTTTGTCCTGGTTAAGCTGGAGAAAGTTCTCTGCCATCCAGGATTTGATATCTAAAATGCAGTTAAAAAGAGCATCCATTGGCCTGGTGTCATCAGGAGACATAGAGATGTAGAGCTGCGTATCATCAGCATAGCTGTGGAAGTTGATTCCATGTCTCCTGATGACACTGCCAAGAGGGAGCATGTACAGGTTAAAAAGCACAGGGCCTAAAATCGAACCCTGGGGTACACTACATGTGATTTTATAGACTTTGGAGGAGCACGTGTCTACACTTACCATGAATGTCCTGTCTGTCAGGTAGGAGATGAATAATCTGTGAACAGCACCTAAGATGCCAAGGTGTTTTAGTTGGTTTAAAGGAATAGTGTGGTCTACTGTATCAAAGGCAGCACTAAGATCCAGCAGAACCAACAATGTCACCTTTTGTGCATCATAATTAAATCTGATATCATTTAAATCTTTACCAAGAAGAATTATTCAAGAATTTATTATGATTATCTAAAAATTATTTAAGTTGAATAAAACAAGTTTTTCTAAAATTTTGCTTAAAAATGGTAAGTTAGACACTGGCCTGTAATTGTTCAAATTATTAAAATCTAAATTGCTCTTCTTCATCAGAGGCAGCGGGAAAGAACCCGTCTGAAGAGAGCAATTTATCATGTTTAAAAGCTCATTTCTAAAAGATTCGTAAAATAACTTAAATAATGATGTTGGGACAGGGTCTAAAAGACATGTGGTGGGCCTCACTGAGGAGAACACTTTGTCCAGCATCTCAGCATTAACCAGAACAAAACTGTCCAGTGTTTCCTCAGGTAAAGAAAAACACTCAGATGCGTTAAAAGGAGTAGTTTGGCATGATAAAATGTTGCATCTAATTGTGTCTATCTTCCCCATGAAGTGGTCTGCAAATTCCTCACAGAGGGCATCAGTGGGATTAAAATGACGATTACTAAAATCAGGGCTTAATATGCTATCAATTGTTAAAAAGAGAACTTTGGGGCTATTTTTGTGGTTTGTGATTATTTTGGAGAAGTAATTGTTTCTCGCAGTTCTTGTGGCATTGCTGTAATTTCTTTGTTGATTATTGAATAATTGATGATTTATTGTTGTTTTGTTTTTTTTTCTCCATCTGCGCTCTGCCACCCTGCACTGCTTTTTGAACTTTTTAAGCTCCTCATTTCTCCATGGAGGTATGGATTTAGGTCGGATATTTTTTGTTTTCAGTGAAGCAACCAGTTTAAGGGCTGTCTGTAGCCTTCTGTTAAAATTGTCTACAATAAAATCACAGATGGCAGGTAAAACCGTGGGAGGACTTTTATCTAAAACATCAATAAAATTTGCAGCTGCCAAGTCTACAACAGAGGACACACTGGTGGACAGGCCGTAGGTGATGACCAAGTCCAGCGTGTGTCCTCTGTTGTGAGCTGACTGTGTGACGTGTTGAATAAAATGCATATAATTAAGAACATTCTTAATTATAAAATAAAAAATATATTAAAAAAAAAAAATAAATATATATATTTTTTAAATTTTTTAATTATATTCTTTATTTTTTATTATAAAAAAAAAATCTGTGGAAGTCGTATCAGAGGAGTTATCCATGTGTAAGTTTAAATCACCGGTTAAAACAGTTATGCTGTAGGAGTTGTGCAAAAGTGATAAAAATTCAGCAACTTCACCGATAAAAGCAGTGCATTTTTTTGGGTGGTTTGTGTACTGTGACACACAGGATAGGAGGACTGCTAAAAACAATTGCACTGCTCTCAAAAGTGGTAAATTTATCAAATAAAACAGGTTTGGTGGCCAGGGTGTTTGAGGTTAAAGCTGCTGTGCCACCTCCTCTTCTACCACTCCTAACAGAAAATGCAAAATTAAAATTAGGTGGGGGGGCCTCTCTCTGCTGATGACAGTCGGAATGTGAAATGTTGGACATGAGGGCAAGTGAGGAGTGAGTTTTCACATGGGGTACAGGGGCTATCAAGAGTCGTGCTTGTGTGGACAAAGTGTGGCAGAATATGTTTGATGATAGGATTCATGAACCTAAACTGTTTGGGTGCAAAGAAAGCAGAGCTTAGCCAGAATAAGTCTAGGTTTGGAATAAATACAAAATTTAAAGTTTTACAAAGTTTGAAGCAACTCATGCAGGCTCAGGAGCCTACTAAAGCGCCCCACTCCACGACCCAGCGCAGGAATTGGGCGGGAAATGAAGATGATTCCTCCACTGGTCTGCAGTAGTTGGAAGAGCTCAGTAAAATCCCTTTTTGTGACTTTGGATTGTAGCTGGCATGTGTCATTTGTGCTGACATGAACAACAACCTTCTTCACAGACGGGTGGTCTTCAAGCAGGCCTGGGATGACCGGAATTATGTCTAATACTTAAGCTCCCGAAAAAGAGACAGTTATAGCCATCTTTGATGTTATATTCTTCATAATGGAATCTCTGATTATTACTGTGGACGGAGGTGGTGTCATGGAGGGCTCCTTACTGGGCGCTGACGGTGGATGTGCCACTGCAGCTGGTGAGGGCCACAGCCGGCGTCAAGAGAATGATGAGGATGTTGGGACCCGATATCACGGTTGTTCCCTGTCGTGGAAGTTTTTTCCCATTGCTGCTGGTGAAGAATGAAATAGAGACAAGGTTTTATTTTCTTTGCAAAGAAAAGGTCAATCTGCATCCGAGCAGTTAGAATCAAGAAAGACCCAGAACATGGGAAAACCTGAACATTTATGCTTGAGGACCGCCCCTCAGAGGGGAAGGAATGGGGCTTTGATGTTGGCATCTTTTGTTTTCTGTGGGGACTGTCACTCCACCCCCCCTTGGGTGGTGGTGGGGGTGTTTCACACCTGGAGTATCCTGCAGGATGTTGATTCTTGATGTCTAGACATCATGATTAACTGATCTGTTGATTAGAAGGTCTGTTGTGGGGGGCATTTCAAGCAGTTCTTAACAAAGACATTAAAATTACAATTACATCCCCCAGCGAAGGAAAATCCTGCATGTCTAAGATCTCAAACCTGTTGGCTAGCGGAATATCCTGGGATGACGGAGAAGGAGGAAGAGACGGGCGCGCTGTGCGGCGCCTATCCCTCCCTACAGCTGTCCAGGGCTCCGGTTGGTGTGGAGTGAAGTTTAGCGGTTGACAGCTGGCCATTCCATGCCAGTTGACAGCTGGCCGCGTCTCCGCGGAGAGGTGGAAGAGTGAAGCACCGGCTGAGGCTTTGGGTTTCACTCCCAAATGAGCCCACGGATTGTTGAGGTGTCTGAACAAAGTCATCGGCCGGAGCTGTAGCCACAGTGGAAGCAGCAGAGGCCCCGGGAAATGTGGAATTGTATCCAAGTACTTCTCAGCGTCCTGGATCTTGTAGAGTGTTGAGATTCTCTGCTTCAGCTCATCAGCGCAGCTTTGACAGCCAGGCAATAGGGTGAGTGGAGCCATGGCCCCTTGAGTGTTCAGTGCTTGATTATCCTAGAATATTAGGATCAAGTGAGACAAAATATAAGAAAGTCCTCCCCCACACGAGATGGTTGAAAAATAAAAGTATCTAAAAATCTGGTAAAAATAGATACTAAAAACCGTTTAAAAACTGCTAAAACGTAGCCAAGCTGTAGAGTAGCCAGGAGGATTTCAAACAGCAACAGTTAATGACATCTGAACTGCCTCTGCCATGAAGTTTAGGCATGAGTTTTGGAAACATAGTCCTTACTAGACTTGAACAACTGAAAATAATGATTGAACAAAATATATTGTTTATTGCATGAGAACTTTACCCATTTTAAGTTGTGAAAGCTGCAGCCATCTCAGTTTCCAAGAGCTGAAATGGTGATTCCCAGCAAATTCTTCAGTTCATTTTGGTGTTTGATACCTTCTTTATATTCATTTTGAAAACTGAGCATTTTAAAGCGAGGTGAACAACAGTGTTTCCCAGTGTTTCAAAGCAGCCCCTCGAACACAGGAAAATACAAGAACAGGAGCTGAACTGGACCCATGCTAAAAACAACAGGATGACTGTGCTGAGTCTCTAAAAGTCTTTCTGGCACACTGGTGCATCATCAACCAGTGTGATAAAGGGAAAAGCAGCCCTGTAGCATTATATATCACCCACTGTTACACTCTTAGTCACTTCACAAATTGTGGCCCCTTCAATGCTCTAAAGCCAGTTTCACTGTTTTTCTTTGCGAGTCCTATGGAGAGCAAATATGGATTTTAAACCCACCTGACACAACATTCTATTATTACACCTTTAGGCTGAACCTGCAACCTCAAAAACAGCAACAAGATAGGAAAACACATCTACAAGGAGAAAAAAAAAAAGTAGAATGCTTATCATTTCCCCCTTCCCACATGCAACTCCTCCACAGCTCAGAAACATCTGTGATGTTAAAGGCAACCTTTCATCCTTGAAAGCTGCCATTTTTCTGCTTCAGAAAATCTACAGTTTTAAGGGTTTGCTTTATCAGTTTGACATTATAGAGCCAGGACAATTCAACTTTTAGAGGGGTGTAGTGAAGTGGTGTCAAATAATTGACAAGGGGGTGTTTTATAGCTCATTCACACTCATTAGAAAAGTTCACCTCTTTTTCAACGTGGTGACATGAGAGAGAATCTAAGAAAAAACTGTTCATTTCTTTTGACACTTGATTGCCTCCATGCAGCCAAGACAGGATGGTTTTACTCAACAGTCTTTCTCATAGTGTATAAAATAAGATTTCTAATCTGCTGTCCATCATCATCTGTAAGGCACCCTCAAAAAATATTGCATGTTTTTTCACAGGATTTCTCACCCTTGAGTTGATGAAACATCATATTCGGCTATGGGCCAGAGGCAAGAATTTCACTATTTGGTGCACCTCAGGGTGGCAAAGGTTCAGCTTTAGCTTCACTTTTAGATAAGGGCAACATAGAATAAATCAAGGTAGGTAACGATGTTTTCAATATCTTAAAGTGAAAACTGTTCTGAACAGTTGTATCTGTTTTATCTATTTTATATGGTTGGCTGCTCTTACTTCTATCTGGACCTGTACAGTTCAGCTGATCACAGATTCAGCCTCTATTTGGCAAACAGACCAAAACAAAGATTGCAGGTCTAGTGCAGTCAGTTAACAACAAAATGTATACTATTTCACTGAACACATAAATCATTGCAGAATACCTTTGTTTATGAGGGATTTGATCTGCACAGCTATAATACACTAAAATTCTCTTAGAGATAAATAAGCCCCTGGATTCTGCAGAAACACTGAGTTTAACTCTAGGAAGGCTGCTGGTCTCAAAAAGTGAGTGGGTTTTACATTGTGTCCCAGACTAGCACTGCTCTATTTTTTGAGTAGGTTTTGTAAACTCGACTATCTAATGACATTTAAACAACATTAACCCTTTAAGGTGTGTCTTTGGCCTATATTCAGGTGTTGTGAAGAGTAGAAGACTGATCTCAACCAAAGATATTGTCATTATTTACCACATATCCAGCTCGAAGCGCTGTCATTTCTTTCTGTGTAGTAGTGCACCTTAACTAAAAGCTAACAGGGATGTAGCACCACTAGAGTTCTTCTCTTCCTCAGTGGTCCTCACAATGTTGCTGAGCCATGTTTAGCTTTCAGATGCTTACTTACAGATTTTATCACAAAAATGTAAACAAAATAAAAATACATACATATATATATATATATATATATATATATATATACACATATGTAAGTATGTATTTTTTTTAAAATATATATATATATACATATATATTTCTACTTTTCTACTATTTCTACTATGTCTTGGAAGAATTGGTTGAGTTAGCCAGACACATATGCAAATACGTGGAATTTTTCTTTCCCCTAATTACATGGAAAAAAACAAAAACAACAACAACAACTAAGCAAATGCTGATTGAAGTTGCAGAACTGATATATTTAGAAACATTTTTTAAAAATATGCTGTATGTTATGTTATGCCTTGTAGATGTTGGAGAGCCACTGCTTAGCCTAGCTACTGTTTACTGACTAGGGGTTCATTTGGTTAGGGCAAGCTGTTGAATGTACGTGATGTGATCTGTCTCTCGTTTTTATGGATCATGTGATACTGTTCTCTGCACTGTGTTTAATGAAATACCACTTTGGATGATGATCTTGGACTTTTGTAATAAAATATATATTTTTCTATTCCGAATTAATTAATAAAGACCATATATTTTTAATAATACGTCGTTGTTGTGCCTGCTAATTGTACTGAGCCTCTGGGGTCACACTTTTTTAAATTTGTATTTCTTTTTGAACATTGTCTTCTCTTTGTTAATCTTGTAGAAGGATTAGACTTTTGTTCAGCTTTATCTGATATTGAGGCTTCTCATAAATAGCAGAAGCTTTTGATGGTATCAATTAACAGCCGCGCTTCACTGAGCTTAAAGGCACAAAGTCACACAAATCCACTCACACGTGTCTATATATAGAGTCTGAAGCACACATGCACAAAATGAAGATGGTAAACTGCTGTTCTTGATAATATCCCTGCAATAAAACCACGTGCATTGTAGATAAGACACAGAGCACTTGTTGTCAAAATCAGAAATATTTGATCTGATTCCAAATGACAAAAAACCTTTTCCTCCGAACAAGTGCGAGCCATGTGGGTGTTTTCAATAGCTTTGCCCTCTGGGAGTAAAAGTGATGTTAAACCTAGAGGCTGCTAGCTGCACACACCTCATCCATTAGTTAAATATCAGCCATGGAACACATTTTACCTGCTGATATCTCACGCTAAACGAGAGACAAATTGTTTTCAGGGATGTGACCCTGGCAGGTCAGCAAACTCATTTGTAGTCAATCTGCATGCAGCCCCACCACCGCGTATGGCTGTGGGTCTGACAGAGGTTGCCTAACTAAACAGTAAATCAAATTACTTTCTCACTTTTGTCATGTAATGGAAGTGTCCCTTGGGTGACAACCTTGCACTTGTTGTTGTCTGCTGATATGTGGCAGATTTTATAAGACAAGCCTGTGGCTGCTGCTCGTGTGGTGGAGGAACTGTAATTACTGTTGCCTGCTAGAGACGCCTTCAATTCCAAACAAACTTCAGTGCATGTGAATTAAGATCCTGCTTTCTGCTTTGGATTTAAAGATACTAATACTGTAGTCTGCCTTAGCATTTCTTGGTATTTCAGATTTATTACTTATTTACATGCACAGAGAAGTCAAGCTACGGCTATGGGTCGATTAGGCGACGAAACTGGGTCATTGTCTTTGTGCTAGTTTACGGGGTTCAAATGATAGTGCCACGTGGGCAAAGTAACAACTGAGGGAGTATAAAAAGACAGAGTGCGACAGAAATTGTAAAACAAACGGTGGTGTTGGGGGCTGAAGGGGGCTGTTGGTGACAGGCTTAAGAAGGGAGACATGGAATACAGGGTGCACCCTGAGGGCTGTGGGGAGCCGGAGCTTGACGGCGTTCGGATTGATGATCTTCTCAATGACGTAGGGACCGATGTAGTGCAGGGCCAGCTTCCGGGATTCCGTCTGGAGGGGAGGATCACGTGAGGAGAGCCAGACTTGCTGCCCTGCTTGGTAGGCGGGAGCTGGGGTGCGATGGCGGTCCGCTAGCCTGCGGTTGCGCTCCGTGGTGCTCCTCCTGCCAGACCCGCCTAATCCTCTGGAACTGTGCCTGTATTGAGGGGACTGCAGCATCCGATTCCTGCGAGTGGTAGCCGGAGGAGAGGCTGGCCGTAGCCCCCAGGCCCCTACAGAACGCCCTCCACACCTGGGAGGTGAACTGGGGCCCCTGGTCTGACACTATGTCCGTGGGAATTCAGTGAAGTCTAAACACATGCAGGATGAGCAGGTTGGCAGTCTCTAAGGCGGTGGGGAGTTTAGGGAGTGGGACAGAATGAACCGCCTTGGAGAAGCGATCCACAATGGTGAGTATGGTATCATTGCCCTCAGAGGGAGGAAGACCGGTGACAAAGTCCACGGCGATGTGAAACCAGGGGCGTGAAGGCACAGGAAGAGGATGCAGGAGCCCGGCAGGGGCCTGGTGAGAGGACTTGCTGCGGGTACAGACCGAGCAGGTGGCAATGAAGGTGCGAATGTCCGCTGACATCGATAGCTACCAGAAGCGTTGTCGCACCAGCATAAGGGTCCGCCTGACCCCAGGATGGCAGGTGAGCTGGGAGGCGTGCCCCCACAGGAGCACCGCAGATCTGGCCGCAGGTGGGACAAACAGCCGCCCCTCAGGTATGCCGTCTGGAGCCGGGTGGTCTCTGAGCGCATCCTGGATGTCCTGCTCCACTTTCCAATGGACTGCCCTTCACAGTTATGTCATTTAACCCTGTGTAGTCGACACAGGGGCGCAAAGAACCATCCTTCTTCTCAACGAAAAAGAAACCCGCCCCTACTGGTGAGGATGAGGGCCTTATGAGGTCTGCCGCCACAGACTCAGTGATGTACATTTCCATT